TCAAGATTCTTGTATCTTTAATTTTAACTAGTTAATAAAATAAATTTTATTTAAAAAATAAAAATGAAATGTTTTCGGGAGACATATAACTTTAGATGAGAGACATACAAATTGGAAGCATTATGTAGGACATTTGACGGATTTTTTCAAATATTGATGGAATCGGTCATGACAATCACATGTTTGTTGAATTAAATTTCTTAAAAAAGAAGCAAAATAACTAGTAATCTTGAACAATAAGAATAACTTACATGATAGAATGTTAGTAACTAATTATTAAAGAATATATATGAAAAACTAAGTATTATGATTTGTTGATTAAAGGTAATAGGGTTAGAATATGAAAATGGATTCTAGATCGATGAATTGAATGCTTCGAAACCTTAGTTAATTAATTTGGACATAAGCAATTAGTCCTTATTATTGTTATTCAAAGTTAGCCACTATGTTGATTCTTTATTTTGAAATTTAATTTAATGGACACATGATTAAACATGACTACATTTTGTTAGTATTTGAGAAAAATTCTTCAAATGTTCTAAATCTGCTTTAAATTGGATACACTGGGTACCAGATTTGTTCTTATCAAAACTCTAAGGACTAAGACTATACATTTACTAAACACTAACGACCAAATTTACTTTTGCTAAAATTTTAAAGACTAAAACTGTACAGATATTAAACATTAAAATTGCATTTTCCTCAAAACTCGACTTCAAGAACATAATATAAAAAGTATTCTGGTTTTACTTTTTTTAAAAAAAAAAAAATAAGAAACTGTATAAAGCAGCGATAAACGAAATAGGAAGGCCATATGTTTCACGAAGGTGTCCTTCGAAAAATTGTAATTTTCGTTTTCAACTGTAGTTTTCATATTGTATGCGGTACCATCAAGATTTGTAAAATCGGGATCCCACGTCAGATCGATTTAGGCAGATAAACCAAAAAGTAAATGGACAAGTAGAGAATAAGACATCAAAGTTTGCAACATGCCTAGCGTTTTTCGTCCCATCGCAATAATGACTTCACGAGTCTTTTCTACTTCGCGAGGAGTAAAAGCTTTCTTGTCAAAGTAATTATGCTCCAAGGGTCAACAAACGCAGTCCCTTTCAAATTGACTTGCCATTCCAAATCAATTTTTAACTTGTGATTAGATTCATACACAGAGTATAGAAAATATTGGACCAAAAAAATTGAGTTGATTGAGAACTAAAAAAGGGTATTTTATAAATTTCTCCAACTATAGATTTCTTTGTAATTTTGAAAAAACAACTTTACCTTCTTTTTCTTAACCTCTTTTGACAAACTATTACTAAAACATATTTCAAAAATACTATCCAAATCATTCCTTTTGAGACAGTATTCCATTTCTGCTACTCATTAGTTATTTCTTCATACTCCTATCGTTTCTGGAAAAAAAAAATTCAGTTATTTCTTCATCAGTTTTAAGAGTGTACAAAATTTTAAATATTTTACCAGTAACAAATTCCTTGTTTATCAGGGCAAATTGAAAAATAATTTACGCACCTTCACAAATAATTTTTTCCTTCCCTATTTGAATTTCTCGGCCTTCTTGGCTTATGGCTCAATTATTGACGGGATCTTTTTCTCTGATCATTGTCTAACACAAATAATCTGACAGGATTTTTCATACCCCTGTCCAACTAAGATCAATTTTTCTTTAATTGTCAACAACTGATCGAGGATCCCAAGACTAACCTTTTCTTTAGTGGTCCAATTCTCCGGTACGTCAGTATTCTATCACAAAATGGATTGGAATGAATTTGTTAGCATAAAAAATATGTATCAAAAGACATTGTAATTTTTCAAAGAAAAACAAGAATGATTAAGATAGAGGGGATAGATTTGTCCAAACATATTCGCTCGGGGGAATGCCTATAGAAACAGTTTAGGGGTAAACTATAACTAGATATATAGTTTACGGTGGTTTTTTTTTTTTTTTTTTTTTGCATTTAATCCATTTTATTAGACAAAATACACGACAGCTGCAAGGAATTTCAAACTGCAAGGAGTTTTAACTCAAAATCCATTACCATGAAATGTCCAAACAGCAATGGATTTCCTGCTGAAAACCCATTTACCATAATTTATTCAATAGCAGGAGATAACATATTTTACACTAGAACCACGCTTCCATTTATTTATGTTACGGCAAGAACAATTTGCTAATTGTTCCCTCAGATGCTGGCAGCATTTTAGCTTGGAGCTTTAGCATGATTCAGCAGCTACCACGACACAAATCCCCAGGCCATGTACAGACACGGTCAGCCGGGACAACAGCCCTCTAGATTACCCGCGCAGGATTCGAAGATCCCTGTGACGGTTACTTTTCCAGCCCCAAGCATTTTTATAATCTGTCCTCCAATTAGCAGCATTTTTCTTGATGAAATTTTGACAGCATTGGTAGTTTCTGTAGCTTCAACTTTCCCCAACACCACACCGGCAGAAGAAATTTTAAAAAAACTCTTAGCGGTAAATTAGCTAGTAATGGACTAACTGAGTTGTACTAGTAATTAATACTCTAATTGAATTTGAAGACAAACTAGTAATTCAAATGGGTTAAATGCATTAAACCCCATGAACTTTCACCTTAGTTGCACTTTGCCCCCTAAACTTCTTTAATAGGCATTTTGTACCCCCTCCCCCTCCCCACCTCCCGATTTGTTGGACAAAGGCGTCCTTGTTATATTTATTTACTTTCTCATGATGCTATTTCTTTCCTTTCATATTAGCTGAAATGAGATAATTTGAGTACTGCATGAATATGCTTAAAAAAACACAGAGAGACTATGTGTTAGTTATGATTGCATGTAAGTACTGATAAAACAAAATAAGTATGAGAACAACAAGAAGGAAGAAAGACTGATTAAAAGCCATTTGCTGTAAGATCCTGAGTGCATAAACTTTTGCACATACATGTGTATATACAGTGCTGAATGAAAAGAGAGATCCAAGCCCCGGGACCTCTGGGGTGGTCGAATAAGTTTTGAGTTAAAATTACAAGTTTAAAATAGTTAATTCAAAATTACTAGTAATCCAATAGACCAGAGCTCATATTAATTTTTCTTTTATTCTTCCAACTTCTAACGTGGGATATCTCATTCACCTTACCTTTAGGAACTTTGCGAGTCACGCGTGGATTGCTTTGATACCATTTATAGTGTCTCGGGTTTACCGAGTTGACCTAATAACTTTTTAAACTGAAATTATAGGTTCAAAATAGTTAACTGAAAATTTTTTGATTGAAAAACACTTCTCTCATACAATTAATTGTCAAAATCAACATTTAAAGAGGGATAGTTGGAGTTTAATATTAGTTTACACGTTTAAAAAATATATTGTACCTTTAATCATTGAGCTAAGAATCATCGTACAAGTATGAAGAGTAACGTGGAAGAACAAATTTGATCAACAAATTGAAGATGAACTTTGAGTCCAAAAGTTAAGAGAAAAGGCGAGATAGTTATTTTTTAAAAAAATGTTACCTTTTCCAGAGAGATCTCGTGTTGCTAAGCCCGGGCATTTTGGTATGGCTGAAAATTGCCAAGCATAGATTATCATGTACAAATAGTCCCAACAAACATCTTGATGTTTTTCACAAGTTACCAGAACTTTTTAATTATAGCTTAATAATTTGATTCTGAAAATTGTAATACATAATAATTGTTACATTCAATCTTATTTAAATGAGTCAGGATTCTCTGTTCAGAACTGGTTTTCCAACTCGACTGTGTGATTGAGGATCTCTTACTTTACACTGCCTTTTTGCAGATGACATACAATTCTTTCCTAAGAAATTCTGATTGTTCTATCCATACTGATTAAGCTATTCTTGATGAATTTACACTGGTTTGTGGTGTAACCATAGCCTGGAGAAGTCTAGATTCTCTTCTGGAAGGACAAGAAGGACACTTAACTTAACAAAACATTGAACCAGGCCGATCACATGGTGGGGCATTAGGGGTCTTATCAATTTGTTGAAATTGTTATCTTGAAGAGAAAAAGGGAAAATGAAATAAAATTGCTTAGTTACTATTACCTTATTCATCGCGATCACTGTAAATTCTGCTCATTTTGCAATGATCTCACACCTCATATTACAAGTTTTTCTTAAGTATCAAAAGGTAGCCAAATAAGTCAATGGTTGACCTGCCATTCCAAATCAAGTTTTAACATGTGATTAGATTCATACAAAAAATTTGTTAAAGTATAGAAAATAGTCGACCAAAACAATCGAGGTGATTGAGAACTAAAAAAGAGTATTTTATAAAATTCGCCTATTATAGATTTCTTTATAATTTTGAAAAGCAACTTTACCTTCTTTTTCTTAACCTCTTTTGACAAACTATTACTAAAATTTATTTCAAAAATATTATCCAAATCACACCTTTTGAGATAGTATTCCATTTTTGCTACTCAATCAGATCTTTTTTCATCAGTACTAAGAGTACGTGTACAAAATTTAAGCTTTACCATTAATAAATTCCTTCTTTGTCATGGCAACTCAAAAAATAAAATGTACGTACCTTCACAAATAATTTTTTCCTCCCCTACTTGAATTTCTTGGCCTTCTTGATTTATGGCTTAATTATTGACGGAATCTTTTTCGCTAATCACTGCTTAACACAAATAATTTTGACAGGATTTTTTAGACCCCTGTCCAACTATGGTCAATTTTTCTTTAATTGTCAACAAATGATCCAGATAGTGGTCCAATTCTCTGATATTTGAGTATTCTATCACAAAATGGACAGGAACTACTCTAGGATCAATTTTGCTTGAATCAAGGGTTTTAATATTATTTGTTAGCACAAAGAATCATGTAGCAGAAGACATTATAATTTTTTAACGAAAAGCAAGAATGCTTAAGATAGAAGGGATAGATTTGTCCAAATATATCAAGAGGGGGGAGAGGGAGGGAGCGAAGTGCCTTTAACAACAATTTAGGGGGGAAATTGTAACCGAATATATAGTTCATGAAGGCATTTTGCATTTCACCATTTTATGAGACAAAATACACGGACATATGCAAAAAAATTCTAAACTGCAAGGAGTTTTAACTCAAAATTCATTACCATGAAAAGTCCATACACCAATGGATTTCCTACTGAAAATCCATTTATCATAATTTATTCAATAGCAGGAGATAACATATTTTACACTAGAACCACGCTTCCATTTATTTATGTTACAGCAAGAACAATTTGCTAATTGTTCATTTAGATGCTAGCAGCATTTTAGCTTGGAGCTTCAGCATGATTCAGCAGTCACCACGACACAAGTCCCCAGGCCACAAACAGACACAGCCAGGACAACAGCCATATGGATCGTCCTTGCAGGATTCCAAAAGACCTATACAGGTATCTTTTCTAACCCCAAGCATTTTTATAATCTGTCCTCCAATTGGCAGCATTTTTCTTGATGCAGTTTTGACGGCATTGGTGGTTTCTGTAGCTTCTGCAGCTTCAACTTTTCCTAACACCACACCTGCAAAAGAAATTGGGGAAAAAAAATCTTAGTAGTACATTTAGCTAGTATTGGACAAAAAATGCTCTTATTATATGTGTGTATGCGCGCGTGCGGGTGTATGATACTATTTCCTTCCTTTCATATTACTTGAAACGAAATAATTTGAACACTATATGAAATATGCTAAAAAAAAATAGAAAGACAAAGAAAGACTATTGTGTTAGTTATGATTGTACATACACACACTTTTGCATGATACTATTTCATTGCTTTCATATTACCTGAAACGAAATAATTTGATTACTATATGAAATATGCTAAAGGGGGGGGGAGGGGGGGAAGAGAGAGAGAGAGGAACTATTGTGTTAATTATGATTGTACGTAAATGATAAAATAATATCAGTATGAGAGACTAACTAGATGCAAGGAGCACAAGAACAAGGAAGAAAGACTGATTAAAAGCCATTTGCTGTGAGATTCTAAGTGCATAAACTTTTGCACACATGCGTATATATATAGTGCTGAATGAAGGGGTAGATGTATCACCCCGGGTCCATTGGACTGTCCCAATAAGTTTTTGATTTTAAAAATATAGGTTTAAAATGATTAAATCAAAATTATTAGTAATCCAACGTGCCAAAGCTCATATTTCATTTCAAATCAAAATTATAATAGTGGGATATCTCACTCCTCTAATTTTATAGAACTCCTAATAACTTTTGGAGTTGAAGTCTCGGTTCAAAATAGTTAACTCAAAATTATAAATAAGTCAACAAATTGGAACTTATATTTCATTTCTTTCTTCTTGGATGTGGGATATCTCAATAGAGGGCGCCAATTTCACTTGCATGATCACAAAAATCATGTTCCGGATAAGATTTCCAGATAAGATGGTTGAATATAAGGGCACGTGGTAGCAATAATTTCACTTGTTGGAGCACGGGTAGGCGGCAATGATTTCACTTGTATGGCCACAAAAAACATTCCAAATAATTTCTGGATGCAAGGGTAGTTGGTGGTTCACAAGCTTTGTCAACACGGTTCCTGATTTGTTTTATCATGTTTAATGAATTTAATTACTAGGGATTTTTCCCGCGCGATGCGTGGGCACCGGGTATATGTTCCTTGAGATTTTTGTAATTTTTCTTGAGAGTACAAATATACTGTTGATAAATACTATTTTTGTTTTTGTACTGATTTAGTAATTTTAGTTGTTTCATTCATACTTTTACGACCTATAAGCTATCATCATTTATTTTTTGTTAGTTTTTTTTTTATTGATAATATAACATTGGCTTATGTTTACAGTTGAATGCTTGGCTTTTTTAGCTTATGTTTCCTGCACAATTGCGTCGTTGATCTAAGGCACGAAAAAATTAATCGGTAAACAGGTACTATTCAGTGTTTACATGTTAATAAAAAGAATGAGAGGAATATCAAAGACTACTGTTTAAAAGAGCTGGCAAACCTGAAGAATGGTTAGTGGAATTAGAATCCCTACACCATGTATATATGCTTAGGTATTCTCTTTGAGGAGGAACCTGGTTAAAGACAAGAAGACGCGACGAAAATTTGAATGGTAATATACTAAAAGAAAGAATAATCCTCTTTTAACCTTTTGCACAAGTTGAGAAAATAGTAACCTGGCCCTTCGCCTTCCCTTTTTCATTAGTATGAGAAGGAGGAGCAGGCGATGCTGATCTTAATGTGAAATCAGTGTTGGACCTTTTATAGTTTGGTCATTGGGGTTCAGAGTAACCAATTGACCAGAAGCAGTAGAAGTTGCAGCTTCTTGAAGCTGCGATGCAAGGGCGTCAACCTCAGATTTGTGCATTTTTTTTTTTCCTTTGTCTTTTTTCGCTTGGGGCTCTTGCTCTTCTTCAAGCTCTTGATGCTCATGAATAAGAAGAGGTCGAGAGTCCGAAAGAACCATTTTTTTGAGCTTGTTTGAGTCGTTGAGGAGCAGGAAGGCTCAAGAATTTATTTATTCTTCTTCTTTGGTATGCCTCCCTTTGTTTAGCCAGACGAATTTCTTGTTCTTGAGAAGATAATGCAGCGTATTGTTCTCTTAGCTTCTAATTACATTGTTTCTTTGTTTTTTTTCACTTATCGCATCAAAATCACGAGCATTAAATTTAGACAGGCTCATCCTACCAAATCGCGCAGGATTAATACATAAAATCGTGCAAGGTTATGTACTAAAGGCAATCAAACACCTAAAAGCATATAGAAACAACAGAACTAATGAATACCTAATTAATTGCGAAAGCAAAAGCACAAGGCACGACACATCAAGGCAGTAAAATAGTAATTGGGAAAATAAAAGCTGAATATGGCTACAGTTTAAAAACTAAGGCTAAATAAAAGTACAAATATGCATATTGTTAAAAAGTAGTAGAAAACATAATTAAAGAGATACCAGTAAGCTTAAACCTAGATTTTGTGACCGGTATGAACAGGAAGCAAGACCAGAAGAAGAACCTGCTTAAAAAATATGGTGGAAAAGCAAGAATTTTTAAAAAGTTACAGACAAACAACAATACAAGTGAAAAAGCAAAAGACCTTGAGCACAAGAAAATAAACATGCTAAAAAAACACCAAGAAAATGCAGCTTCCTATACATGATATCATCAGCTTGGTAGTAAAAAGCGATAGGGGAATAAAGGATCTAACCAAAAAATACAGATTAATAACAAGTCTACATGCTAACTGAAACTAAGTAGAAAATTAGTACGAGCATATGAGTAGTAAAAAAACAGAACATTCACAAGAATCATATGCATGTTAAAAATGCTATGATGGTACTAAAGGACTAAACATAATTCATTAAGAAAAAGATGATGATGTCTTTCAAAAAAGCCTCTGGAAAACGCAACCTCATGAGGCAGAGTGAAAAGAATACACTGGCAGCAAAAAGAGATTGAAAACATTGGAAGTACAATCATACCCATGATTTTTTTTTTTTTTTTTTTGTCAAAAGTCATTCATCTATATCATCAGATGTTTGACACCTACAAGTATATGTACATTTTAGCTGGCAACTGCGAGATGAGCACTTTGTGCAGCCATAGAGGTCCACACCGGGAAGATACTCTTCCACCTAGTAAAATCATGTTGGTTTTAGCTTGTAGGTTGTAAGACAAAAATGGTTACCAGTCAAAACATGCTTGTAAATCCCATTTCAAAGACAACACTTGATTTATCATTGTGGACCAGAATTTATAACCCGAACAAAAAAACACAGGAACCACGTGGTGAAGAAGTGGCCAAGTGTGTGTAGGCTCAGCACAAGCTTATCATCAATTTTTTGAAGTAGATGAAAAATTATTCCATGCATTAATTAATTCCGTACGATGAAAATGGTGGACAATCACTCGTAACTACATCCAAACTATATTAGGTGATTGTCACACTCATAAATTTGTTTGTAAATACCATTTTTTTAGGTGATTGTCACATCGTGGACTTATGAGTGGGAGTTTTTGGCTAAAATAATCTACTTTTCAAAAAATAATCCCAAGGTAATGCTCTTTTAGTTTTTATTCCCTTATTAATCTAGTTATTGCCATGTAGACTCCCCATCAAAGGAAAAAAATAACTTATAAATCTTTTGTTTATATATTACACAGTTTTTTTTTATTTAGTGCCTTAAGGACATTCTGTAATCAAATTAAAAAAGGAAAGTGGATCCATAATTAGTGTTTTAAAATTGTTGATCACCCTCCAAATTGCAATGATTGTGTCGAAGAACTTTTTTTTTTATGCCATTATTCCTCCCTAGCTTTGTTCTTGATTATTATATCACAAGTTCCTTTCTTTTTTTTCTTGTTACTTGCAATTATAAATATGGTAGTCCCTAACTTTGTAAATTTTAAGAAGTTTACAAAAACTCAAATTGTTTGAAGCACGAGCATAGTTATTAAATCCGGCCCGGCCCGGCGGTTCAACCGGTCAATCCGGTGAACCGACCATGAAACCGGGCTGGGTTTGTAATTGGATCGTTTGTGCACCAAATCCGTTGCAGCTCACTTGATACTTATTCACTCCTTCTATATTATATATTAGATTTTTATTCTTATTTTATTTCTTCAAAACAATATTTGTTGGGAATCTTTTAAAAAAATTTTATTATTCTCTAAATTTTATAAATTATGAAATGGATTTAAAAAATAACATATTACACAATTCATTTTAAAAACAAATATTATTCTTAATAACCTTTTGTGCTTAAAATTCAAAAATAAACTAGATAATTAAACTTAGATAAAATTTTATACTTGAAGTGTGGTGGATTACTAATTAAATTTAGGTTTTGTTAATTCTTATAAGAATTAATGATTCTATAATAAATTGGACTAACTGAGTATTTACTATAACATAGTTTATTATAATTTTAACCATATCAAAAATTATAAAACATAATATTTAAATATATGTAGTGACCCACCGATTGGACCACTCACCCACCCGTTGACCCAGTAACCCGTTGACCCACCTCTTTCACCGAGTTCCTCTCCGGGCCGGGTTTAATAATTATGAGTACGAGTAAACATTTCAAGATACATAATAATCATAGTTTACATGAACTATAAAAATTCCACTATAAGAGTAAAGAAAATTTGAAAAAAATTCTCTTGCATTTTTTGACTTATCAAAAGAGAATACATTCGAAAAAAATAGGAGAGAGAAAATATAACTAGATCAGTGTTAGTATCAAAATTAACACGCTATGTGAGCCAATCTAATTTGAGAAATACTAATTAACTCAATAATAGATAGAGAAATATTTTTATTTATCTTTAAGATTGTACATAAGTAGCAAAATTTGAACTATTGAAAGGTTATTAAAAATCTATTGATGTGGATTGTATCTCTTAATATAAGATGGAAATGTGAATACTTTCCATACTCAAAGTCCACATGGCAACAAGTAAGTTAACAAGGGAATATATTTTGAAAGTGCATTAGTTTGGGAATAGTTTTAAAGAATGAGGTTATTGTGGAAATAAACTCTATGAGTGGTTGCATGTATTTATGACAATCACCTAAAATGGTTGCATTTAAATCTATAGCTGTTGAATGCAATTATGAGTGGTTTAAATCTATAGTAGTTAAATTTTTTTTAATGAAATACCCTCCTCTCATGAGGCCCACAATCGAGCCCCACAATTGGACAGTCAAAATCAACATTTAAGGAGGGATAGTTAACAAGTGTCGAGTCTGTATAATAATAAATATTTATTCAAATAATATATAGATTTTGTATACAGTAGTAAGTAGGGTTGAATCCGTAGGAACTGGGGAAATTCATTTTCTCTTAAATTCAAAGTTTGGGGGGATTTTCATAAGAATGGAGGTAGCTAAACAGCTCAAGTAAAAATAAAAATAAATAAATAAATAAAAGCTGATGACAGTTTATTATGATTGAATCAATAATAAATAAACTCTAGCCATGGAATAACTTGGAAAATGGTTCACTCAATTGATCATTGATGCAATGATAATTTCGATTATTAATTGATAAACAA